AATCCCAGCACTTTGCAAGGCCAAGGCAGGTGGAACGCCTGAGGTCAGGAGTTTGATACCAGCCTGGCCAACATGGTGAAACCCTGTCTCTACAAAAACATTAGGCTAGCATGGTGGTACGTGCCTGTAGCCCCAGGTACTCAGGAGACTGAGGCAGGAGAATCACTTGAACCTGGGAGGCAGAGGTTGCAGTGAGCCGAGGTCATGCCATGCACTCCAGCCAGCCTGGGCAACAAAAGCAAAACACCGTCTCAGAAAAAAAAAAAAAAAAAAGATGTGGAAAAGACTCAATGTAGATCATTTATATAAACTGTTTTAGTATGGTGCCTGGCACACAGTAGCGATGAATACACAGCAACCATTTATTATAGATATTTTATATTGCAGATTAGTTTGCCCAAGCAACCAGAATGATTTATTTCTGATGAAAAATCTTACTCATAGTCTCGAAAAACAATAAGCTAATATTTGCTGATCAGGAACTAAGTTCTTTGAATGCCTTCTCAAATTGTTTTGTTTGTTTTTTTTCCATAGAAGTCCTACAAGGTGAGTTTTATTAATCCCCATTTTGCAAATGAGGAAATTTAGGCTCCCATAGGCTAAATAATTTAGGCAAGGTCCCTCAGCTAGTAAATCAGGGGGGTGGGCCTACAATGGAGGTCTGAACTATGACCCCTTTTTTGGGGATGTGGGGAAAGAATCTCACTCTGTTGCCCAGGCTGGAGAGCAGTGGCACAATCTCGGCTCACTGCAACCTCCACCTTCCAGGCTCAAGCGAGTCTCATGCCTCAGCCTCCCAAGCAACTGGAATTACAGGCACCTGCCACCACGCCTGGCTATAGTAGAGACAGGGTTTCACCATGTTGGCCAGGCTGGTCTCAAACTCCTGGCCTCAAGTGATCTGCCCACCTCGGCCTCCTAAAGTGCTGGGATTATAGGTGTGAGCCATATGCCTGGCCTGAACCATGACCTTAAAGCCAAGAAATCCCTCAGCGGGCATCATCCCTAAGGAGCAGGGGGCACTGCTCAGGAAAAGCAGAATCTCAGCTGTGGGAAATTTACTGGGCATGTACCCAGTAACATGTGACACAAAGAGGCTACAGCCTGCCCAGTGCAGGGAATTGGCCCTGGGGCTTGGGGAGGTCATGGAAGGCTTTGTGTAGGAGCTAGGTGTGCAAGGATGAAGGGGATTCCAGCTGGCAGGATGCAAGGAGGGGACTCCAGAAAGAGCAGGATAAAGGTAAAGCTGGAAGTGAGAAGAGAGATGCAAGGTGGTCCAACACTGGGCTGGGGCATGTCAGGGCTACTGTGGCCCATCCCTAAGGACCTGTCCCAAGGCGTGAAAATATTTCTTTTCCACCTCCCTCCCCCGCCCACCCCCTCATTCCCACTCCCCCCTCCCCCCCACCCATAAGACCTACTACAAAGTAACCAACCATGAAAATCAAGGAGTTTTTCTATCACTCAATACTTTCTTGGTAACCATAAGACAACTCCAACGAAAAGACAACGCCATACAGGGTCTCATGCAACCCTTCCAGGCAGCTCACCACACACCACTCCTCTGGTCCCACCCAGCAGTGCCCATAGCTTTGGAACTGATAATCAAAGCTTGCTGCCTAACAAAGGGCTTTTGTCTCTCAATTTCCAAGTGCCAGAGGTAGCAGGAAAGTGTGGTGGTTAGGATGCTGAAACAGTGGCGAGTCCATTCCATGGAACTTTCATGGTTAGTGGGGACAGCAGGCAGATTGTCTAACATGACAGAATCTAAGAGGCTGTCTGCTGTAATGAGCTCAGCCAGGCCTGAGGGCACTTCCTTCCAGAAAACAGGTGGCTTTTCTGCTGGCTTCCAGGGCTGGGGGAGCTCCAAGGTACTGGGGTCACCTCAGGAGCCCAAAGAAACAGAGGCAGTATCCCCACTTAAAGAACAGGCAACTCTTAGATCTGAAGAGTCCGGTAAATGTTCTCCTTTTCCATATGTATTTCCAGCTAAATTTGTAAGCTTCAAAGAAGAGAGGAATATCCTCGTTTCTTCTTCTCCCCCCCAACACATGGTTTGGTATAGAGCTCCCAGATATCAGTGAAGGTAAGTTCTGCTGCTATGACCAACAGACTCCAAATGTAATGGCTCAAATACAACAGAAGTGTGTTTCTCGCTAGGGCGTCAGTTCCAGGCCAGTGGACTGGTTAATGAGGCTGTCTTCCTCCACGTAGGCATCCAGGGACCAGGCTAATAGGACATGGCAAGTGGGTGCCACGCATGGTCCCAAATTAGATTTTTTTCTTTTTTAGAGACAGGGTCTCCCTGTCACCCTGGCTGGAGCGCAGTGGCATGATCATAGCTCACTGCAGCCTCAAACTCCCATGTTCAAGCCATCCTCCCGCCTCAGCCTCCCAAGTAGCTGGAACCACAGGTGTGCACCACCATACCTGGCTAATTTTTTATATTTTTTTTGAAGAGACAAGGTCTTGCTATGTTGCCTAGGCTGGTCTCAAACTCCTGGGTTCAAGCCTCCCAAAGTGCTGGGATTACATGCGTGAGACACAGCACCTGGTCTCAAATTAGGGAGCTCGTCAGTTCTACCTCCTGTGTTGTCACTTGATCTCCCCAAGCCCACCAGTCCTGCCTCAGCCATCTTCTCTCTCACCAAGGTCATTGTAGCTGGTCCCTGGGCCTGCCTTGCACTTTTCCAGTTTTCTCTCCACTTAGCACTCGTAAAACAAGCAAGTTGTGCCACACCTTCCTTGTCCCAGCTTCTGCCCCTCTCAGCCTGGAACACTCTCCCTGTTTCCAGTCCACTTAGTAAACTGAACTCTCTTTTCATGGTTGAGAGTCTGAATCACCTTAATGAAGCCTTACCTGACCCACCCCTGCTGGGCCCCCAGACATATTCTTCCCTGGACAGAGCTTCCCTGCTCATTGCACTAACAGGCTGACACATCAGCCTCCCCAGAGGAGGCTGTGGGTGCCTTGGTACCTGTATTGGTCGGTTTTCATGCTGCTGATAAAGACATACCTGAGACCGGGAGGAAAAAGAGGCTTAATGGGCTTACAGTTCCACATGGCTGCGGAGGCCTCCCAATCATGGTGGAAGGCAAGGATGAGCAAGTCACGTCTTACATAAATGGCAGCAAGGAAAGAGAGAGAGCGCTTGTGCAGGGAAGCTCCTGCTTTTAAAACCATCACATCTGTGAGACATACTATCACAAGAGCAGCACAGGGAAAACCCAGCCCCACGATTCAATTACCTCCCACTGGGTTCCTCCCACGATGTGGGAATTCTGGGAGTTACAATCCACAGTGAGATTTGGGTGAGGAGACAGCCAAACCATACCAGTGCCCACATGTGCTAGAATAAATCCCCTGCTTCTCAGATCTAGGGCTCTGCTACCTTTAACTTACTGTAGAACTTCTCTTAAACTAGCCATGCCCTCTGGACCCATTCCTCATCTATAAAGGGAAAAACAACCATCCCAGGAGTGGTCTGTGATTGCCCTGTGTTTTAGGAAAAACTCTGCTCAAATTGTTCTTCCTCTACTCTTAGACTATCACAATCATCAACACAGAAGACTTCAGTGCCTAAATGTGTATGGGGTTTCCCCACCAACAAGCAGTGAACACCAGCTGGGTGTCCTTTAACTCAGTTCCAACACTATCTACCCAGAGACATTGTCAAATCCCACAGGTTGAGAATTCAGTCTCCAAGACTGCCCCCCTCAACCACACCAGGCACAAGTCTGGGTCTCCAGAACTTCTGACCAACTGGTTTCAAGTTGAGGTTCCCACAGCCTCCTCTTTGGGTTTAATTTGCTTGAGTGGATCACAGAACTCAGACACCCCTTACTTATGGTTACCAGTTTATTATAAAGGATATCGCAAAGGGCACAGATGAAGAGACGCACATAAGGCAAGGTACAAGGGAAGGGGAAGTGGTGCGGAGCTTCCATACCCTCCCTGGGCACCCCACACTCCAGGAATCACCAAGTGTTCAGCTATCTGGAAGCTCTCTGAACCTTGTCCTCACGACATCAGCATTCCTTCCCCCAAGACTGGGACCCTCTCATGGGAAGGTCTTTAGGACCCACCGTAAACAGGTGGGCGAACATTAGTGAAGGGACGGCCAGAGGTCAGAGGCCTGCCCCTGAGCCCTAACATAGCCAATATTCTAGCCAACTGCGAGAACAAGGGCTATGGGAGTTACGAGTCAGGAACCCTGGATGGAAACCAATATATATCGTATCACCACACCCAGCATTGGCACTCAGCACACAGGTGTTAGAAGCAAAGGACTCCTAGGCATGCTCCCTGCGTGGGCTCTGCCCCCAGCCGCCCCTCACAGGGCTTTCAGCCTGCCAGTGGAGATCATTCTTGAGGGCCTGCACATGCAGGGTCCTGGGCACACTGCACATTCCTGACTCAGAGTTGGACTCGGCTCCTGGGGGTTGCCCTGGCCTCATTCACCCTTGAACTCCCCAGCTCCCACCCACCCCAGGCATTACTTAAGCACCTGCTGCCAGGCCAAGACCACCACCTTCTAGGACCTGCAAGCCCCATCCAGCTCTGACTGACACATGACCAGCTATGAGAGCCAGCCTGGCAGGAGAGTATCCCATGAGCACCAACCCTGCTAAGAAAATAGCACAGAAAGCGTACATTTCTGGGCCAGGCACAGTGGCTCACACCTGTAATCCCAGCACTTTGGGAAGCTGAGGCAGGAGGATTGCTTGAAACCAGGAGGCTGAGACCAGCATGGGCAACAAAGCAATAACCCATTTCTACAAAAAGATCAAAAAGTAGCCAGGTCTGGTGGTGTGCGACTGTAGTCCCAGTTACTCAGGAGGCTGAGGCTGCAGTGAGCTATGACTGCACCACTGCACTCCAGGCTGGTGAGAGAGCAAGACCACAGCCCTTAAAAAAAAAAAAAAAAGGAAAGAATGTGTTTCTTTGCCTGGCACTTGCCTATTCCCAATTCCACCCCTGAAAAAAAGAATTTGATATATAGAGGTTTATCAATAGATCACATTTATTCCTAAGCCCCAACCACACATCTTCTACCCCTCAAGATCCCTGAGACCCAGGCTGTGGGCTGGAAAACGAAGGCACAGTGTCAGAGGGTCCCTGAACACCCAAGAGTGCTGACCTTCAGGGACCCGCCTGCACTGCCCACAGGCCTGGCACAGCAAGAGGCACTCCTGTTTCCGTCCCTTCTGTCTCTGGTCTTCAGAGCAGGGTTTCTCCTGAGTCCTCTGTCAGCCTTGACTCTGACTGTGAGGCAGATGGGAGCCAAAGCCCCAGTGAAGCTCCAGGAGGCCGGTGGCCCTCAGGGGAACAGATGCAAAACCAGGCACAGGCCTGCCTTCCGGCCTGCATCTACCTATCAGGCCCAGAATGTCTGTGCAGTTGGAGTGGGCTCCCCAGAAGGAAAAACAAGCTTAGTCTAGTGCTAGGGGACAGAGAACTGGGGGCTCAAGAAAGCACCCCAAAACAGGCTGCCAGATTAAGGACCCAGGGGGCTGAAGAGAAGTTTGCCCCAGGGCCCAGAGCCAGGACTGCAGGCAGTGGCTGGAGATGAGAGGCTGCCCGGGCCCCTTCAGGAGCTGGGCCCTGGATTCTGGGGCCACAATTACCTCAACATCACTTCCTACAGCAGAAAAAGGTCACTCTTCTTTCCAGAGGAGGCGACAGAGCCTCAGAGCTTGCTCCGTGGGGCCTCTGCCAGGGGCCGCTGCAGCCGCCATACCACCCTGACTGGCTCAGCGGCGCGGTCCAGCTCACGGAGGCCACCCAGGTCGTGGGTCTGGCTGTAGTGCTGCAGGGCGGGCTGGAGCACCGTGATGGGAATGCTGAAGTTCAGGTGGGGGTAGGTGGCCCCTGTGCTATTGTCCCGGGTGTTACTGGTGACTATGCCTGTTGAGGAGTCAAAGAGCAAAAGAGGATGTGAGCCATCTCCATCCAACCACCTCCATCCACCCTGGAGCCCCCAGGGCCTGCTAGGGCTGGAAACCACCCCCCACGGTGACAGACGCTGAGCTTCTAGACGTGAACACCTGCTGCCCACACCCCTTCCTGGCTTTACATTCTCCCTAACACTCTCAGTATCTAACACACTAGATAGTTCACTTATTTTGTTATCTTTCTCTCCACCTAGTGTCAGCTCCATGAGGGCAGGACTTTGGGGTTTTGGTCATTCAGTCAGTCTCCCAGTGCTTGCACCATGTTAAGCTCTCAACCAAGGGTTGTTGAATGAATGAATAAATCAATCAACCAGACCCACAGACATGTTTTGCTTGGCCTGCTTGGTGCATGGATGTGTGGTTGTTTTTTTTTTTTGAGATGGAATCTTGCTCTGTCACCCAGGCTGGAGTGCAGTGGCACCATCTTGGCTCACTAAAACCTCTGCCTCCCAGGTTTATGCAATTCTCCTGCCTCAGCCTCCCGAGTAGCTGGGATTACAGGCATCTGCCACCACGCCCAGCTAATTTTTTGTATTTTTAGTAGAGGCAGGTTTCACTGTGTTAGTAAGGATGGTCTCAAACTCCTGACCTTGTGATTCACTCACCTCAGCCTCCCAAAGTGCTGGGATTATAGGCATGAGCCATAGCAGCCGGCCGTGTGTGTAGTTTTTTAAAGATAATTTCTGCCTGAATAGTGAAGAATTCTATATACCCTTCGACCAGCTTTCCTTTATGTTCATATCTTATGTCACCAAAAAATATGTATCAAAACCAAAAAATTTACCTTGGCACATACTGTTAAGTGAAATACAGAACTCATTGGCATGGGTTGCTCTAGCGTTTCCACTAATGTCTGTTTTCAGTTCCAGCATCCAATCTAGGACTCCATATTGCATTTAGCTGTCACAGCTCCCAAATCTCCTCTAATCTGGGTTAGTTCCTCAGTCTTTCCTTATCTTTCATGGCCTTGACATTCTTAAGACTGCAGGTTATTTTAATTTATTTACAGTCTTTTTCTGTTGTTGTTTTGGAGCCAAGGTCTCACTATTGCCATGCTAGAGTGCAGTGGTGGGATCATAGCTCACTGCAACCTTGACCTCCTTGGCTTATGTGATCCTCCCATCTCAGCCTCCCTAAAATATTTTGTAGAGATGGGGCCTCACTATGGTTGTCCAGCTTGGTCTTGAATTCCCAGACTCAAGCAATCCTCCCACCCTCCAAAAGTGCTAGAATTACAAGTGGAAGCCACCATACCTCACCTTTTTTTTTTATAAATATACAATTTATATTTCTGAGATGAGGTCTTACTCTGTCACACAGCCTGGAATGCAATAGTGACCATAGTTCACTGCAGCCTTGAACTCCTGGGCTCAAGTGATCTTCCCACTTCAGCCTCCTGCATAGCCAGGACTTCAGGCACATACTACCATGTCCAGCTCGGGTCAGTGATTTTAGACAATAACCCTCAGCTGAGGTCTACCTAATGCTTTCTCACAACTGTTGGGTTGGTGCAAAAGTGATTGTGGTTTTTGTCATACTTTTGTTTTGCCATTACTTTTAATCATTTAAGGTCATGCATTATTGGGAAGAATACCGTAAAAGCCATGTGTCCTTCCCAGGACATCAGCTGTCTGATGTCTGTAGGGAGTACTTGTGATGTTAACCTTAATCACTTGGCTGAGGTGGTATCTGCCAGGCCTCTCCAAGACTTATATTTTCCTTTCTTTAATTTAAAAAATAATTTTTTAAAAATAAAAATAGAGACAGGGTCTCACTATGTTGCCCAGGCTAGTCCCGGTTCAAGTGATCCTCTTGCCTCAGCCTCCTGAAGTGTTGGGATTACTGCCATGAGCTACCACACCAGGCCTAGACTTACGGCTCTAAATATTACCTGTGGCTCTAATATTTCCTCTTTGTAAGTGCTAAATATTTAGAGGAGATATACAAAAGTTATGCAAATATAACTTTACTTAGGGTGGAACAAATAAGTAAACATATTGTAGACAGCAAAAGCAAGGTTTCTACAGGAGAAGGAGGAGACAAGCGAGAGTTAGACTGGACTGGAGTTGGGAGGTTTCTAGGTGAACTCCTATTTTTTCTTCTTTTTTTTTTTTGAGACAGAGTTTCACTCTTGTTACCCAGGCTGGAGTGCAATGGCGCGATCTCAGCTCACCGCAACCTCCGCCTCCTGGGTTTTCAGGCAGTTCTCCTGCCTCAGCCTCCTGAGTAGCTGGGATTACAGGCACATGCCACCATGCCCAGCTAATGTTTTGTATTTTTAGTAGAGACGGGGTTTCATCATGTTGACCAGGATGGTCTCGATCTCTTGACCTTGTGATCCACCCACCTCAGCCTCCCAAAGTGCTGGGATTACAGGCTTGAGCCACCGCGCCCGGCTATATTTTTTCTTCTTTTTGATAACAGACTGTTTTTTAAAAACCTGTCACCAAAATTTAAAAATTGATCGATTTAACGGCCACACATTTTTTTTTTTTTTTTTAAGATTTACGTGTCTTGTGAAATATCTGAATAGCAGTCAACATTAGGCCCAGCCTCCTTCATGGCCACAGTCTGCTGCAGCCGAGTCGAGTGCGCTCCAGTCTAGCACTGATCCCTCCCCTCCCTGTGGTCTTCTCTTATTCATTTGCTTTAACTTTCCAGCCTCTGATGGCTTTTGAGTCTGTGACCCTTGGACTAATCCAACTCCTGAATTTCACAGATCAAGCCAGATTAAGTGACTTACCTAAGGTCACACAGTGGATTAGTGGCAGAGAAGGGACCAGAAGCCAGATCTCTTTCCTCCCAGTTCAGCCTCTCTCCCTCGCTACCCTCAGGAGCAGAACAACCTGCAAACCTTGGCTAGCTCACTCATAATGCCCACCATTTTCCCAGACAGAGGGTGCATTGGGGCTGGCCACAAGCACTCATGGGGTGGGACTGAGGTTCTATCAAGTGGAAGGATGGGAGGGGGCCAAGGAGCTGGTTACCAAGGAGGTTCCCTGAGCGGTTGGAGAAGAGGGGTCCCCCACTGGAGCCACCATGCACAGCGCATGTGGTCTGCAGCATCACAGGCGTGCCATCCACCTGCACCACAGCCGACAGGATGCCTGATGTCACTGAGGGCCCACAAGCCTGGCCAAAGACGCCGAAGCCCACCACACTCACAGCTTCACCTGCCAAGGAGGGAAGGAGGGTGAAGCTGGGAACACCTGTGTTATAGCAGGACTCACACTCCCTAACCCCCATCCCTACCCTCTCCAAACGTCCCAAACCTCTCCACCCTTCGAGTTTCTGCTCAGATACTCCTGCCTCCAGATAGCATTCCCAGGCAGGTCCCCGACTGGAAGAGGCTGGGAACTCCAGAGCTCCTAGCGCTGTATCTGCACGATCACTTCTCCTGAGCAGCAGGCTGTTCCCCAGTCTCATTTCCTGGATAGATGGGGCAGTGACTTTTAGAAGTTCCTAACACCTAGCTACATGCTCAATAAATGTTTGTGGAATTCACATCCATCTCCTCCTGGGACTCCTAAGGAGCCTCTTGGTGAAAAGAAATGATGATGACAGCCATAAGGCAGCCATCTCCTTCCTTTTCCAAGTGCAGGACATGGGGTTAAGTGCTTTATAGGCAACGTCACACCCAGCACTCACAACACCCAGAAGTAGGATGTATTAGCCCCATGGCAAAGACATGGAAAATGAGGGAGAAAACAGTTAACTAGTCTGTCCAAGGACATGGAACTAGTAAGTGACAGAGGAAAGATACCCATCTAGAGCCTCTGGGCCCTTCATTGCCATATCATAACACTGCCTCCAAGGAGTGTGACATTGGTACTTAATGTGGCAGCATCACAAAGCCTTTTACCCAAATCATGCCCCAGGAGCCTTGAAAATGCCACATGCCTCTCTGACCACCCTGATGTGTTAAGAAACCCCAAAGGTCCAGCACCCTCACACTACATTGCCACAGGCACTCGGGGAAGGGGCGTGCTTTATCCTTCACAGGGTACTCCACATCCCCCACCAGCACAAGAAGGGAGGCCTTGGAGGACCTTGACCAATGCCACCCTGACTTCGTAAGTCAGCTGGGGTGGGGAGGGGGCTGGTCCGGGGGACTGGCCATTGTGAGAATGCCCAACAGATTCTACTTCCTGAGTCCCACCCTAGCCCAGAGGGGCCCTCCTTCAGGCTGTGCCCTTTGTCCTTTACCTTCATGGAAGTGCTCAGCGGGCACAGGGATGGGAACATCCTCCAGGTCTTCCTCCAGGCTCACAACTGCTATGTCATAAGGACATGTCTCCTGAGTGGCAAATACCACACGGCCCCAGACGGCCACACTCCTGGGAGTAAGGGAAACAAATGACAGGCTAGCTTTCTGACCCCTCAGTAGTTGGGAGAAATCAAGGAGGTGAGAGTGACAGTGAACGTCACGAACTTGGAGTCACAAGATCTGGGTATCAGCCCAGAAATCGACCAGCCAGGCAACTCTGGGCAAGTCACGTCACCATTCTGTGGTATCTCCAAAGGTGGCTGACAAACTGTGCTGCTTCTATAAAGCTTCCTGTACCTCACCCCGATAAGCAACACGGACAGTGAGCACTGTGGGTCAGGTTTGGTGTTAATGCTTTGTGGACATCACTTTATTTAGTCCTCTGACCCTATAAACTGGGCACTGGCATTCTCTCCATTTTAGGTGGTATAACTGAGGCCCAGAGACACTGAGTAACATTCCCAACGTCAGACAGTGGGAGGAGCCAGGGCGAACATAGCACTTTCCTTCACTGCCTTGTTGATACCCACAATCCCATCAGTTTGGTGGGGGTTTTACCCCCTTGGGTCCCTATTTACATAGATGCTAGCATTTCTGTAGCACACTGCGTGGCAGGCTCTGTTCCAAGACATTTGGCATCAACTCCCAGGGAGGCAGCTTAGACAGACTGACTTGCCCAAAATCAGACAGGGGCGTCCCACTACACTCTGTAGGGGTAGCTTCCAGCAGACCTGGTGGTCTCCTTAGGAGCAAGGGGAATGTGTGGGGAATGAGAGGAATCTGGGGGGCCACCACCATAGGGAAGCCTTCATCGGTCTTCCCTTTAAAGTCGTAGCTGTCCCACAGGCCACCAGTGGGGACACCTATGGCAAACTGGGCTGTGTTGCCCACACCGCGCTAAGCTTGGGGATTCAGGAGAGAGATTTGGAAATAACTGGTCTGCAAGGGTGGGTTGAACCACGTACAGCTGCCTGGGCCATCCCCCTACATTTTGATTAGGTAGAAACCCACATTCTGTTTTTCATTCTGAAGGGGAACTGGCTAAGCTCTAAAAGATGATTAAAATTAACAAATCTATCTCATTACCCCAGGAGGTAATGAGCCTGGGCCTCTGGGACCTTAACACTTTCAGAGAAGCTGCAAGGTTAGGGGATCTCTGTTCAAAGAGCCAGAGAACAGTGGGGTATAGGGTGCAGGTCTATGAGACAGAGAAGCTACCCAGAAGGAACTCAGACTTTGAAGCGGGCTCAAAGATGTCCAGTTCCGGATTCAGGGTGTCTCACAGTACCCAAACCCAGAGCTGCTTGGAGCTTGACATCTTGCCCTAGATACTCCCCCACAGGGATTCTGGGTATAAAGAATGAGGGGAAGGTTCCAGGTCTCTACCCACTACACGCCCAAAGCATCCGCGTGACAGAAAAAGGCTTGCCCCCAGACCTGAGACCTGGAAAGGCGGACGTGGGGTCTGCCTTGGCTTACTTGAGGGGCGTGGAGTGCACCAGGACCCTGGCTGCCTCCCGAGGGGACACGTGCCGGCAGGTCACTACAAGGCGGGGAGCCACAGCCACTCCAGAGCCCCATACGGAGCCGCACTCCACCAACACAGCCGCGGCTGCCCACGGGGGCCCGGGTTCTCGGAGGGGCAGGCCCCACGGGACGCCCACCTCTAGCGGCAGGTGGGCGGCCAGGGCAGCGGTGCTGGGGAACAGGCGGCCGAGCGCCGCGCGGACAGCACGGAGGAGCGGGGCAGCAGCGCAGAGCAGCGTGAGGCCCACCCATTCGCGAGACTTCCAGCAGAGCGGTGCCGCCACCAGAGCCACCAGCGTCCCCGCAGGCCGCGCGGTGAACACGCCGCCGCCCTCCGTGCCTGGCAGGCAGCGTGCGTCGGTGAGCAGCAGCGGGCCGGCCACGTTGCTGAGCACCCCGCGGCTCAGCGTGTTGAGAAAGATGTCGGGGCAGAAGGCCCCGAATGGGGAGCCGCAGACCAGCAACGGCGCGCCCTTGGACACGGCCCCGAGTGGCGCCACCGCCACTGCCGGCCCGCGCTCCTCCTCTGCCTCCTCCTGGCCTAGCCGCACGCCCAGCAGCGCGAACCAGCCCAGCAATCTCAGTTGATCCTCCTCCTCGTCCTCCGGCACTTCATCATCCGGCGCCACGCTCGCGAAGCGCCACTGTTCCGCTGTCTCGTCCCCGAAGAGGCGCGCGAAGTGGGCCCAGAAGGCCGGGCAGCTCAGCAGCAGCAGCAGCTCGGCGGGAAGCGGCGGCTGCTGGAGCCGCCTGCGGTACGAGGCAGGTGGGCTGGGCTCGAGGCCCGCGCACTGGGGCGTGCACAGCCCGGGCCTACCCCGCTCTACGCCGCCCAAGGGACCCGCGGCTGCTGGGGCCCACTGCACGTGCAGGCGCAGATCATCGCTGCAACTGTCGCCAGGCAGGAAGACGGCACCGGCCGCTGTCAGGACCTCCCTGCCAGCTCGCAGGAAGGGGGCGAAGATGCCCCCGTGGCACAGCACCAGGCCCGGGCTACGACTCAGGATCACCCCGCTGCAGCTCCACGGGCCCGCCTCAGGTTGTCCGGCCCGGGAGGCGCTCACCACGCAGCCCGCCTGTTCTGCTGCCCTCATGGCAGACCCCCACTGCCTCCCCATGGCCTCTAGACTGGATACTCTGGGGCTTCTCCGAGAAACAGCGAGCCGCCCAGCTACGACCCCGACCAGGTCGGCTGAACTGACCTAGTGCCACCCACAGCTGGACGCGAGAGGCGCAGGCTCCGACTCAGGTCTTCCGCATCGAGCTCGATTGGCTAAGCCCCAGCTGACCCAACCCGATTGGCTGGGCTTGTGCCGAGCCCTGATTGGCTGCCGATTCTGATCCTCCTTTCCCCGCCCTCGTAGGTTAGTCCAACCTGCGGGCCGTAGCTTCTGTCCCATACCCTCGGATGAGCCCCGGGGAGAGTAACGGCGTCGCGAGGAATTAGGGGAGAGGAGGGCGGGTCCCTTCAAGCCTGGTCTGTTGTTTGCTGGGCTGCGGGAAAGGGAATAGAAACGAGCACTGACGTAGCTAGATTTGCCCAGGCCACGACAGTACCTGTTAGCATCTGCCCAGGTCTAGGCGACCTTCAGCCTCTGACCCCTGGGATCATATGGACCAAGAAATCCCTGGCCAATTCAGTATTTTGGAAAATCTGAAAGTAAACCGTGTAGCAGTCCATTAAGGGGCATGAACTCTCAAGATTACTCCTAAGATATTTTGCTGCTAAAGCCTCAACACAAAGAAACTGAATTTGCTGTAAATTAAATTGGCCTTTAAGTCAACTATGATGAACAGCTGAAATCAAGAATTTTAATCATATCGCCCTATATTTTGCAGTGTGCACATTTTCACATAACATTTATAACCACCAGCCAGGATTTATCTAGGCCAGGGTCCAAATACTTCTGTAGCAGGCCAGAATGGAAACAGTTCCAGTCTGGAGGACCATACAATCAGTCTCAGATACCCAACTCTGCAGCTGTTGCATACAAAAGCTAAAGGAATGGCGGTGGCTGTGTTCCAATATAAAGTTACCTTGAAATTTGAATTTCATATAATTTTTTCGTGTCCAAAAATAGGATTCTTCAAATTTTTTTCAAACCATTTATTTATTTATTCCCCTCTGGTTCGTGTTCTCTGATGAAGTTGCATTTTCCAACCATTTAAATGTGTAAAAAGCTTTCTTAGCTCACAGGCCATACAAACACAGGTAGCAGGCCAGGTTTGACCCACAAGGCATAGTTTACCATCTCTAGTGTATACTAACGTAAAACACATCTACTTTTCCAAAGAAGTACCCTTTAGGACAGAAGAGGATGAATGACTATATCCAGGGGGAGGGGGAGCTTCATGATACCCTCAAATCAGTCACCACAAGCTAGACAGTTTACAAAGGTCTGCTTTATCGCTGTATTGATAAAATACACATTAATTTTTATTAAGGTTACTATAGTATACTACCAACATTAATGAAAAGATATTCAATTGCTACTTAAGTTCTCTAATCTTTTGCCTGAATTCTTTAAATAAAGTGAACACTGCTTGGTAAAATCCCAGCACAACATGGGATAACGCTCCCAGTACGCCCAGTGGCACAAACCGGCTAGAGAAAGGAAAACGACTATCCATGATAGTATGAGGCAGGACTAAAATTAGGCCATCTTCCAGAGTAGGCAGTCTTATTTTGGTTCTATGACACAGAAGATGGCTTGATCACAGCAAAATTTCTTTATCCCAACTTCCTAGCAATTAAAGAGTTTTTCTCTTGGTGAACCACAAGGGCTCACACTTGGAATCCCAGCACGTTGGGAGGCTGAGGTTGGAGGATTTCCTGAGCCCAGGAGTTTGAGACCAGCCTGGGCAACATAGTAAGACCTTAACTCTACAAAATTTTTAAAAATTAGCCAAGCACGGTGGTGCACACCTGTGGTCCCAGCTACTTGGGAGGCCAAGATGGGAGGATCACTTGAGCCCAGGAGGTCTAGGCTGCAGTGAGCTGTGTACATACCACTGCACTCCAGCCTGTGTGACAGAGTGAACTCAAAAAAAAAAACTCTCTCTAAAAGTGATTCTCCCTCAATAATGCTCAAGACTCCAGCATGAACTGTTAGGCATTGGGTTTTTTAGTGGCTACAGCAGATCATGGTACAAAGTCCCAAGTCACAGCCAGAACAGCCAAGGTAAGACCTGATGAGTGCTAGGCTCAGTGACTGAGCCTTTAATCTCATGTTCCACTCTGCCTCAAACAAAACCAACCCGTTTGCCCAGACAACCCATAGCATCCTTTCATAGTAACAAAGACAAGAGGACAACTCCAATACTTTAATACTTGGTTGAGAAGAACTCGTTGCACTGTTTCCTACTGTTTGTCCTAGTACTTTAGTTTTATGATCTCATTTGAAGTTTTCTAAAACCAAGGCTTCTTACAAGCCCACTAAATGCACAAGGAAATTCCCATTTTGCCAAATGTAGCATTTGATTTTTTTTTTTTTTTTGAAAGTCTCATTCTGTCACCCAGGCAGGAGTGCAGTGGTACGATCTCAGCTCACTCCAACCTCCACCTCCCAGGTTCAAATAATTCTCCTGCCTCAGCCTCCCGAGTACCTGGGACTAGAGGCATGTACTACCTACCATGCCAGCTAATTTTTTGTTTTACTAGAGATAGGGTTTTACCATGCTGCCCAGGCTGGTCTCAAACTCCTGAGCTCAGGCAACCCATTTACCTCAGCCAATTCTAATTTTGTGTAAAATGAGTGACACTCAGCTAAACTAGAGCTAGTCCTTGCTAGCATGTTAATAAGAGATTTTGCTCAAACATCAGGCATCCCCATCCTGCTGCAGAAATGACCAACAACCCTGGGTCCACAGCATGTTCCTAATCTCTCAAATAGTACCATAAATCTATTTCCTCTAGTGCTCCAGCCTCTTTCCCCCTCCTGGTGGCAAAATTAAAGTATCTCACATGCACTCTAAATGTTTCTTCCTCTATGTAGGAAACTTTTGGATCCCTCCCTAAACACATGGCATTGTTCAAACTCAGAACTCAGAACAAACCAATGCAAAAAAAAAAAAAGAAGAAGAAGAAAGAAAACAACACATTTCTTTTAACGTTTTATTAAAATGCTTAGGATACAGATTGACTTTCTTTTGTAAATGACTGTTTTACTTTTCCTGAAATAGGACATATATGCACTCTGATAAAACAGAATGAGAAGTCGTAATTCATGGGAATTCCTGTACAAGGTGCTGATCCTGTGTCTGGAGTTGAGCTCCCCACAGCAGCTTCTTTCAGCTATCTTATAGGAATAGTGTTCCGTGGGGCAAGAAATACACTGGTTCTGATTTTCAATCCCCTTTCTCCAGTGGAATAAACCACTTTCACAAAGAGCTGCCCTATGTGTAACCCACAGATTTCTAGCTTGCAACAAAGTGACAAGGGACAAATAAGTGGAAAAAAATTAAAACACTGAAGGACTCATACTTCTCATGTCTCTGAACAGAGAAGTATGGGGAACCTTTAACCAAAGGAAATTAAAAATATGCAAGTTAACTACCTACTTCACTCACTGTTAGCTAGATTTGTTCACTTAAGGCTTTAACCCCTTTCCAAACCAATAATTTTGTCTTAATCCAGCTATGCTTGCTAATAAATGAAATGCATGCACTTCCCACACATATATTTCACTAAGCCTCTGCATTCAGTACCTGGCAGTGAAAAAGTATGCTTTCCCAACAAGTCAGTACTGGAGAATATGAATGAGAACTCCCACTAAAGAACAATACCTCTCTCAACCCAGTAATGTTATCCAATTTTCCCACCCTCACATTAGAATAAAGACATCCTCCCAACTTTTCATCTCTTATCTCCAATCTTTTCCTAAGAAACTGATCTTTTGATCTTTAACTACAATGGTGGAATACAGGTTAAGATTATCAAAATCCAATTTCACATGTGGCACTAGGAAAATGGAATGCTATAAAATTAATCCTCATCAACCTAGTAGGGATGCTGGTGCTTTTATACTGAATCTTTACTGCCAATAAGTGATGCTGCCACCAAAGGAACAGCTCTACAGAAAGTTTTTGGGTTAGTGTTTCCCCAAGCTTATTTCTGCAATGGAGAAAGACAATTTCATACAGAAAAGGAAAAGGAAAGGAAAGAAAGCAAGCCAAACAAACCTGGAAAAGCTGCAGAGGTTAACCTTTAAACACCAACAAAACAGGTATCTAAGGAGAAAAAAATGTAAGAAAAAGAGCTCAGGGACAGCCAGAGACCAAATTCTGCAAATGGAAATTTTAAAGCCCACTGAGTACATGTTTCCTGGATCCAAACAAGTGCTACAATACTTTTAAGTTCTCAAATCACAGAATTAAGAGCCCTTAAGCTGTTAACTTTGTCCTATCTTCCTATTCAGAAAAATTTCCCCCTAGAATCTGTGCAACTGACGCACCTGCAGTATGTGACATGAGAGATGTTCTCAAGTCTTTTATGAGGTGAAAGTAACTTTTTATAACTGAAAATGAAAAACGAAGGTGCCACAGAGAAAAGTTAAATTTCACAAAAATATAAAAGCAAAGAGTGGCTGGAATCTGTAACTTCATAATAACAATAACCCCCTCTATAATTAACCCCTCCACAGTGAACAATCTGCTACACATTCCTCGATGAGGAATGACCCTAGCTTACCACAGTGGAAACCTGCCACAACTGCAAGGCCAGGGTTCTGCCCCTTTTCTAGTTTTCTGTGCACAAGGTAATGCCGCCTACTCCAAGGCAGTCAGAGAGATAGGTGAGCTCGGGGGAGCTTCTCTCACCAACCTGCTAACTCAGTAGGAGTAAGTTCACCCAAATAAGCTCTGGCCTCCAATGTGTATCTGTTCATAATTGTATGAAGTATCTAAATGTCATTAATTAGTTTAAAAAAAAAAAAAAAGAATAGAAAACTCTGGACCAAGTAAATTGTGAACTCAAAAAGTTAGGAGGGATACCAATTACATTAACAACACTTTCTTTAAAAAATAGAAGTACTTTCTTTTGAAATCAACCGCAGTGGTGAGACGTGTTTTTCTTTTCAGGTGCCCCATGATGGCACACAGCTTTACCCGGCAAATCCTGCCAGCTTCCAAGTCCCGGGATACTGACCTGCACCAGACGTGGAGCAGCATTACCTCCCGACAGTGTGGAGAAGAGCACATGTCACCACTGGGCAATGAGAGAGTTGACAGAGACTCTTGGCTTCTCAACGCCAGACATGGTTGGAGAGCTTTTCTTGTTCTATTAGAAAAGTTCATGAGGAAGCTGTGAATAGGATCAGTCCAGAGAAGTAAAACTCTTTTATTTTCACTGTCCAAACATCAGTCAATATACTGGGAGAGCCAGCGGAAACCCTCGCCGTAGCCTTGCCTCTTGAGCACACTGCACATGAACACTTCCATGGGGCGAGCATTCAGCTCCTTCAGGGTCACATTCCCCTAAAGGAGGCAAAACGGAGAAAGAACTGTTAGCATCTCTGTGG